GCTCCGACTCTGAAAATAACGAGTTACAATCTTATTTCTAGCCCTATTGGTTTTATTTTAAGCATACAGTACTGTGCAGGATCAGATTGTGTGAGATTATTGTAGTTGTTTTAAAGATTATTCATCTTTTTTTAAGTGCAAATGTTGGTTAATTGCAATCACACTGCCAAAAACGCTTCTCTTCCCAACAGTTTTTGTCTTGTTTCTAGTCCAAAGATCTAAATATTCTTACATTAAGAAGCATTTAATAGCCAAGCAAAAAAATAAATTACTTTAGTAATTAATATTAAGTGATTTGTGTTTAAAACAAGGAGTTTTTCCTTTGTATTTAGCTTGTTTTGAGGAAAACTCACCAAATTTTGGCTTAATATTTCCAAAAACAAGACAATATTGTTTGCTTGTCTAGAAAATGCTTCTTGATTTCATTTTAATGTAACAAAAACTAAAGTTTAACCCATAAAAAGCATTTATTTTAACAAAAAATAAATACTACATTTAAGACTAGCTTTATATTTTTAAGACTTTTATTTAGCTTAATAGCTTGCTTTAAGTTTATCCATTAAAAATGCTCAGTCAAATTCATATATATTTGTCCTTTAGTGACAAAATATTCACTGCTAAATCTCCTTTTCTTGTCAAGAGTTACATATTTATAGCCAAATAATCATATTGATCTTGTTTTGAGTGTAAAATACTATGCAGGATCAGACTGTGTAAGACTATTGTGTCTGATTTAACTTTATTTATCAGTTTTTCTTAGTTGGTAAAGCTTTTAATAGCTGCAAATATAGCAGAGACATAATTTTCAGACCAGCGTTGAAGGTTTCAGTCTTTATTTTAGCTGTATATTAGCTTGTTTTAAGATTGCTCATTAAAATGTTCAATTAAACTTACTTGTCCTTAAGAGACAAAATAAATAAATAAATTATATATATATATATATATATTCACTGCTAAATCTTTTCTTGTCAAGAGTTAAATTTTATTTAAAGCCAAATAATCATATTGATCTTCACTTAAGTATAAAATACTATGCAGAATCAGATTGTGTACATCTATTGTGTCTGATTTATGATTATTTATCTTTATTTCTTGGTTGATTAAGCTTAAAGTTAGGCATTTCAAGTGCAAATGTAAAAGAGACATAATTTTCAGACCAGCGTTGTCATTTTCAGTCTTTATTGTAGCTGTATTTTAGCTTGTTTTAAGTTTGCCTAATTAAAAAAAAAATGCTCAATCAAACATACTTGTCCTTCAGTCAAAAAACAGACTGTTATGTTATGCTGAATTAGGCTTCAGTATATTTTAAGAAGCAACAAATAATATATTTTTGCATTGTAACTACTAATGAATGAACTATATTCATTTTCATGGAGAATATACATGTGTATGTGATCTTGATTTAACTCTAGTTCTCAATCTAGTGTCAAGTTTAAATGCTTTGGCTCATTTTAAAACAGAATATATAATGATTTTTGTCTTGTTTCTAGTCCAAATATCTAAAAATCCTTAAATCTAAAAGCATTTTCGAGATGAGCTACACATATTGTGTTGTTTTCAAAAAATAAAATGCCATAATTAAGGGAGTTTTTCATTAAAACAAGCTAACTAATCTGCCAATTAGGTAAGCAAACTAATCTAGTTTTTCCCTTTGCCATGAGATTTTTTGCTTACGCCATTGGCAGATTAATTTTCTTGTTTCAAGGATAAGGGATCCAGATTTTTCCAGGATAAAGCCTAGGTAAGTTTTCATATTTCAAGAAATTGTACCAAGTATAACTATCTTACTGCACCAGCAGATATTCTGACATGTGTCTAGCCTGTGTCTAAACCTTGCCTGTTTCTAGCCTCATTGCAAAACTCAGAATGCAGTGACTATAAAACACGTCATAATCCGACATCTGAACATCAGCCAAGAACGCAGTGCAGGAAAAAAAACATCTGAGAAGTTTCAGTGTTGTCTAAACAGTTGTGGACAACAATAAAGCAGCGTCAGGAGAAGCACTGATCCCTGTCGGCATCAGAGTCATAAAGCGTCCTGACGTGCACATCCAAGTCAAATAATCACTTTAAAAGCAATCAAGTTACTTCCAAGACCAAAAACCGTCCATTAAAATGAAGTGTTATCACAAACAGCTCCTCTCCAAACCACAAATAACCACACAGTCATTCACCGTCAGACAGAACACATCTTTTGTAACCACTGCGTGTAGTCCTCCATGACGTGACCAATATAAAAAGCAAATCTACACCATGTTAAATATGTTAAGTTCACTCACTTTAAGTCAAGTCAACTAATCACTTAAAAAGTGAGCTAATCTATTGTTTTTAAAGTAAAGTAACTGCATTAAAAACAGGGGGTTTATTCAATTGTTTAAAAAAAGTTGACTAATCTTGCTTTAAAAGCAACGAGTTTACTCACCTTTTTAAAGTCAACGAATCACTTAAAATAGTGAGTAAACCCATTGCTTTTAAAGTAAAGTCAACTAATTGCATTAAAACATTGGGTTTATTTAATTGTTTCAAATAAAGTCAACTAATCACTTTAAAGGCAACGGGTCTACTTACTCTTTTAAAGTAAAGTCTACTACTTGCTTAAAAAAGTAAGCTAATCTATTGCTTTTAAAGTAAAGTCAACTTATTGGATTGAAAGCTAGGGTTATAGTTGAAGTCAACAATAATCGCTTTAAAAACAATATAATTTCTGACTTTTTAAGTCAACTTAAAGCAAGTAAACCTGTTACTTTTGAAGTTAAGCAATTTATTTGCATTAAAAACCCCATATTTACTCACTTTTTAAAAATAAAGTCAAGTAATCACTTTAAAAGAATCAGGTTTACTCACTGTTTAATACAGTCAAATAATCACTTCAAAAACAATCAGGTTATCTGAATAGGTTGATATGTACTTCTAATATCATTTTTGTCCATCAAAATGATATATTATCAAAAACAGCTCCTCTCAGAAGCACAAATAACAAATGATCATCCACAATTAACCATACCTCACCTTTTATAACTGACACTGCATGTCATTCTTTATGCCAAAAGCAAATCTACACCATTGGCATGCAACGTTTACTCACTTTTTAAATTCAAGTCAACTAATTGCTTAAAAAAGTGAGTAAACCCATTGCTTTCAAAAAAATTAACTAATCTTGCTGTAAAAGCCATGAGTTTACTCACTTTATTAAAGTAAAGTCAACTAATCGCATTAAAGGCAATGGTTTTAGACAGTCAAGTCAGACTGAAAAAGAGCTTACTCACTTTTTTAACTCAACTAATCACTTTAAAAGCAACAGAAATACTAAAGTCAACAAATCGCTTAAAGTGAGAAAATCCATTGCTTTTAAAAAAAGTCAACTAATTTCATTAAACAGTTTATTTATTCATTTTAAAAAGCCAACTAATCTTGCTGTAAAAGCCATGAGTTTACTCACTTTTTAAGGTAAAGTCAACTAATCACTTTAAAGGCAATGGTTTTAGACAGTCAAGTAAGAGTAAAGAAGAGTTTACTCACTTTTTTAACTCAACTAATCACTTTAAAAGCAGCAAAATTACTATTTTTTGAGTCAAGTCAACTAATTGCTTAAAAAAGTGAGTAAACTCATTGCTTTTTTAAAAAAAGTCAACTAATCTTGCTGTAAAAGCCATGAGTTTACTCACTTTATTAAAGTAAAGTCAACTAATCACTTTAAAGGCAATGGTTTTAGACATTCAAGTAAGACTGAAGAAGAGTTGACTCACTTTTTAAAGTCAACTAATCACTTTAAAAGCAACAGAATTACGACAGAGTAAACCCATTGCTTTTTTTTAAAAAGTCAACTAATCTTGCTTTAAAAGCCATGAGTTTATTCACTTTATTAAAGTAAAGTCACTTCACTTAAGTCACCTAACATCACTTTAAAAGCAACAGAATTACTCAATAGTCAACAAATCGCTTAAAGCGAATAAACCCATTGCTTAAAAAAAAGTCAACTAACTTGCATTAAAACAGTTTAATTGTTTTAAAAAGTTAACTAATCTTGCTTTAAAAGCCATGAGTTTACTCACTTTTTTTAAAAGTAAAGTCAACTAATGCCTTTAAAAGCAACAATTTATACAGTCAACACAGACTGAAAAAGAGTTTACTCACTTTTTTAACTTAACTAATCATTTTTAAAGCAGCAAGATTACAAATTTTTTAAGTCAAGTCAACTAATCGCTTAAAAAAAGTGAGTAAACCCATTGCTTTTTAAAAAAAGTCAACTAATCTTGCTTTAAAAGCCATGAGTTTACTCACTTTATTAAAGTAAAGTCAACTAATCGCATTAAAGGCAATGGTTTTAGACAGTCAAGTCAGACTAAAGAAGCGTTTACTCACTTTTTTAACTCAACTAATCATTTTAAAAGCAACAGAAATACAAAAGTCAACAAATCGCTTAAAGTGAGAAAATCCATTGCTTTAAAAAAGTCAACTAATCTTGCTGTAAAAGCCATGAGTTTACTCACTTTTTCAAAGTAAAGTAAACTAATCACTTTAAAGGCAACAGATTTCTCAGTCAACTAATCGTTTAAAGTGAGTAAACCCATCGCTTTAAAAAAAAGTCAACTAACTTGCATTAAAACAGTTGATTTAATTGTTTTAAAAAGTCAACTAATCTTGCTTTAAAAGCCATGAGTTTACTCACTTTTTTTTAAGTAAAGTCAACTAATTGCTTTAAAAGCAATGATTTTAGACAGTCAAGTCAGACTGAAGAAGAGCTTACTCACTTTACTTTCAAAAGCATTGGGTTTAGACACTTTTTAATGGTCAAGTCAGTTAATTGGTTTGACAGAAACAAGTTCTCAATGTTTTCTTTAGGTTTTCTTTAGGTCTACTAATTGATTTATACACTGTAATACTAGTAAATTGTAAGCTGTGTAATTCCAAAATCAAAAACTGTCTATCAAAATGAAGCGTTATCACAAACAGCTCCACACAAATAACCGTGTAATCATCCAGAATTAAGCAGAACTCAC